ACCAGGCTATTTGGCCAAGTTTTGGTGATGGTAGAATGTCCTGTGGATATGATTTCCATCAGGATAAAGCTAATGAGAGGGGAGTAGCACATACATTTGGGGGTTAGATTTTGGTCTCAGAGTTTCACTTTGTTCAGCAAACAGTGAGGCCAGCAGCAGGAAGTGAGATGGGGGCTGGTCTTTTTTGTGTCTCATGTGCAGCCACAAGTAACATTTTGTGTACTGTACAGAGCAGATTTGAATCACTGTGACAGGCACTCCAGTAGGCACAGTAATACTCAGCAGAATCACTCTCTTCCAGATTTCGCACTATGAATTTATATCTCTGGCCTGTGCCTTCATACACGTGGTATTTCACTGGATCGAGTCCTGAGTCCATCACAATCTTGGAATTGTAAAAGTCATGGAAGAGAAGGTGTTGAGGGGCCTTCCCCTCCTTGAATTGGTACCAGTGGATGAAATTTCTTTCTTCAGCAAAATCACAAGTAATTACTGCAGTGGACCCAGTTGTTCTCTTGAGTGACATCATTCTTCCTTCCAAACTGGAAGATGTTTGACTGCCTGAAATAGTAACAATAAAAATTAATGGTTTGTTGTAGTTTCTTTGAGGGAAAACTACGCCCCATGATCATCTGTGCTACATACTTACCAGGAGGCAGGGTGGCTAGAAGTAGGGCTAGGGCCCACAGCATGCCTTCTTCCCTGGGGCTTGCATGGAAAAGGACCAGATGATAAGATGAGAAGAAATACCTTTCAAAACTCAAATCCTACTCACAATGGAAGTGACCCTTCCAACAGGGACCTGGAGCTGATCCTCCTGACTGAGTCACAGGCAGGGAGAAGTAATGGAGGAGTTGCCTGAGAAGACAACCCAGCTGTTAACCCAGAAGGGGTGGTTCTGGGAGGAGCCCTTGCCTCTCTGCCTCTGCCCACTTCTCTAGCACCACCCTGTGGTCACTAAAGGCAGGCCCTCTGCAGAGAAGAAGCCAGGAGGTAAGCAGACTGGGTGCAAATGTGGTGGGAGGCAGAGCCCTGGATGAAACTTCTCTCTTTGCCTATGGAAACAAGAACATGTCCCTGAAATTCAGTTTCAATGTTAATGCTGCCGCCTTCATCTTGTCCTGAGATGAAACTTTTTTCATCATGGCCCTGACTACTTCCACTTAATATTTATAAAGTAGATTTGGGGGCAACCACCAAATGCAAATCTGATGAGCCTTGAATCTACCTTATTAAAAGAGACTGGGATCAACAATGTCATCTGCAAATGACACTCCTCAAAAAATGATGATGATTGTGTCTTTGTATACAATAATCTATTTATTTCAATTTGCTGGTAATCCTCAAGTATTATAAAAAGTCTTCTCAGAGATCAGGTGGGTAATTCATTTTAAATTAAATCAGTGTGTGTGTGTGTGTGTGTGTGTAAATATATATTTCACAAAATATTTGGAGTTAAACTAAAAATCATTTTTATCCGAAATTCAAACATATCTGGGTATCCGATATTTTATTTGGCAAATCTACTGTCAGAAAGTGTAGTGATATCTACAATTGATTTCAATTGATTGATGGATAGATGATCAAAACATAAGAAAATAAGGATAGAATTTAAGTTGTGCATACACAGATGTTGACCCACCAATATATCTGTATATGTGTTTAAATTGTAGGACAATGTCACTATCAGTCATTGTTCTAGCCTCTCTCAGGTAATTTGTTTTCCATGACTGTGACATCTGAGAATTTAAAAAGATAGGAGACTCTGATTGGTCTCTCTTTGACCTGAAGGACCAAAAATTCAGAGAAATGAGCCTGCAGACCAGCAGCCCAGAAAGCAGAGGGCTCCAGGTCACATGAAGGACAACCTTGCAGGCCCTGGTAAGCTCCAGAGCCTCAGAGCCTAGAAAGTGCTTGCTGGGATAGAAGACTCATGGTTTGTAGATGAGAAAGGAGAATACTAGCAACATATCAGAATGGAAAGAAGAGTCGTAAAACAAAAAAGTCATAGATGAAGTTAACTCAGTCTGGTATGGTGTTACACATCTGTTATACCAGTTACTCAGGAGGTGGAGGCAGAAGAAGAGCAAGTTCAAGGCTGGCTTGGGCAACTTGGTGAGTCCTTGCCTCAAAATAAATAAAAAATAGCCAAGAACTTGGGATATAGCTCAGAGGTACAGCACCCTGAGTTCAATCCTCAGTACTATAAATAAACAAGAAGGAGGAGAAGGAGGGGAAGGAGAGAAGGAGGAGGAGGAGAAAAAAATTATAAGAGAACTATATAAGTTAAAATGTAGAAAGAGGTACACATATGTGACATTTTAACCTATGATAAAGTTGTACATTCAGTTCAGCAGGGAAGAATAAATTCTTTTTCTAAATTGGCTCACTATATGGAAACGAGTACTATTGAATTGCTACCTTACAAATAGAGATTTAGGTATAATAAAACTGAAAGCACATAATGCATTAAAATTTAATATTGGTAAATTTACATATAAATCACATGTGAGAAAAGGCTTCCCTAAACCTTACACCAAAAGCAAAAACTGTAAGGAAAAAATTGTAGATTTTTTTTACAAGTATCATTTAAGTTTATAGAAAAGTTACCAAAAATACATTATCAAGTTTTTTCAACACATTTGTTAGGAAAAAATCTTAATATATCTAAAATGTTTATGAAACCTCTTACAAACAGTAAGAATAATACTCCAGTAGAAAAATATGGGCAAGGGGTATAAAAAGGCAATTCATTAAAGAATAAATGGAAATGGCCATTAAACTTGTGAAGTAATGCTAGCTCCCATTGTAGATGAAAAGCAAACAGAATTTACCAACCTCTCTTTTTTTGAAACAATGTGATGGATTTCAAACACTGATTCCAATCCCCTACCACTTCAGATTTTATAACTAGAAAAGCCAATAAACCCATGAATTTCTCAGCTGTTAAGTCCAGCAACACTTGAACCCTCAACAGGCTTTTGGTAAAGATTAAATGAGATTATATATTCAGAGTGCTTAGCACAGGGACTTCCAGAGGAAAAGGGCCCATAATTAGCATTTACTAAAACTAACACTACTAACACCATTACTAGTACTGCTACTATTACTTCTGTATAATTGTTATTTAAAAATTGCAGCAGGATCAATGATACAAATACTAAATAATGAGTGAATAAAAACATTAGAAGAATAGTACGGGTTTCGTTCTGCATAAACTTAAAGTGGGGGCTGCTTTTCAAGTGAAAGCGTGAAACCCAAATGCTATCAAATAAAAGAATGATTAAAATGTTTAAAAACTGAATACACCAGAACCAAAATATAAATACCAAATTCAAATAGAAGTAATATACCCTACACATATGGTGAATAAAAGATTTGCTTCTTGTAAGGAGACAGGTATTGTTTGACTACATTAGAAAAAGTTAAAATATTCAATAAAACTAATAAGAATATTCTTACTATAATGTGAGGAAAGAGAACAGAAATCAAGGAGGGACATAAAAACTCAAAATGGATCCTGTCTTCTAAGTTGACTTTACATTCATGTAACTGTCTTACCTATATAAAACAAATATATTAAAAAGAAAAACAAATTGAATTTTAAGAATTTAAAAATATAAACAGAAAGAAATGGAATTACCTTTACAGTAAAGATGCAATAAACATAGACAGTAGAATTATTTAAAATTGAATTTTACTTGAATATCCTAAACAAAAGAAGGAATGCAAGTAAGCAAGAAGTTTACAGGACGTCTTCTAGACTGAGCATTGCCAGTAATCATAGTATTGTTTATATTTATAATTTTATTTGTATTTTTATGTGCTTTGGTTGGCACTGTTAGAAATCAACATTTCATTGCAAGAGAAAAGTACAAATGCGAAAAATAAAAATCTAAGTAAAAACCTTACTATCTATAATTTAAATCAATCTTCTCTAAGAAATAACTTCTTTTTAATGATCCACTATAAAATGTTTGAAAGCAAAGCAATCCCAGAAGAAATGAGCACTTCTAGCATTTTTATTGATGTATCTAGAAATTAACTCTCACTCAAAGCATTAGGGCTGAGTTGAGAAATGGTGAGACCAAGACTGGGGCTTGATTATACAAAATAACGCCAGGATATCTTGTCTATCTGAAAGCAGAGATGCAATTAAAGACAACTGAGGTCAAGACCAAGGATAATTAAGCCAACTGCAGTGCTCCTGATTGGACATAAATAAGATACTGTAAGGACTAAAGATGCCTACACAAAAAATTTAAAGAATACAAATATTTAAAGACACAAGAATTCACCAATAAAACTATCAGAATTGAAAAATGATAGGCATCTCCAGAGACATCATTATTCTGAACATAGAAAAGCAAAGAAAAAGTAATCACTGTACTTCTTGGGGACTGAACTCAGGGGCACTCGACCACTGAGCCACATCCCCAGACCTCTTTTGTATTTTATTTAGAGACAGGATCTCACTGAGTTGCTTAGCACCTCACTGTTGCTGAGGCTGGCTTTGAACTCTCAATCCTCCTGACTCAGCCTTCAAAGCCACTGGGATTACAGGGATGTGCCACCATGCCCAGTTTCAACATACTTCTTTATGGAAGTATTAGGACCAATAAGTGTAGAGAAAAATACTAAAATTAGAAAACTACCATGACACAACCCCAAAGGATGGAGTCATGAATTGTTCTCCAGCTTGACCACACATACTGGTCCTATTTCTCTCTCTACCCTTCTGGTTCTCTGTCTTCCCATTGATCTCTCTTACCCTTTATATCCATCTTCCATCTCTAGGTTCACATACTTTTTCTTTTTTATATTTCCCATTACTGCCCATTCTTTTATATTTTTCTATCTCCCTTCCAGGTCTTATTCTCTATCTCTTCAGTTTCTTACTGTCACTTTTTTATCTGTTCTACATTTTCATTTCTACACATCTGTTTCTTATTTTTGTCTCTGTCTACCTGTTTCTATGATCTTTCTCTATTTCTCCCTTTATCTCTTGCATTTATTTTACTTCCTATCTTTATCTCACTTCATGTTTTTCCATTTCTTTCATGGTCATGGGTCACGATGGCTGTCTTAAAACTACTTATTCTTCCAACCCATGTGTCCTCTCAGAATTGGCATCTGTGTGTTGACTTTTCCAGGGTGAGACACAGAGAGATTTCTGGTTCACTGTGTGCTGAGTAATTGTGCTTTATATCTTGCATATTTTGAATACTATGTTGCAAGGCACTACACCTTATTTACATATATGCAGAATATTAAGGTTTTTGGCTAGCAGGCAACTGATCCAACATGGTATTGCAAGTTCCTACAAGCTTCAGATGGGTGGTTCCATTCGGTTCCCTTTACAAGCCTTCAAGTGCTACTCAGATGTGTCCTGTGTGTGTGTGCTACCCAGAGACCACTCTGGAAACGGAGCAGGGCTCTAATCCTGCAAAGTCTTTGGTAGGCTATTTAGGGTCATACTTAGGCATGCACAGCTTGGGGGAAACTCAGTACCCTGAATACCATTGCATGGGATTTCTTTCTTAATCTCCCTCTTCTCTGCCATCTCTACAGCACTTGCTTCCCATGGCCACATAGGTGGGCTTCTATAAACTGCTGCACTGTGCCTCTCCTACAGAGGGTTGGCATCCCGGGCCAAGCAGTGAGAGGATGAAGAAAGAGCAAAAGCCACCAGGATTCTCTCTCAGGACCACAAGATCCCTGGTCAGAGAAGGTTACCGACCTAGATTTTAAGGTCTAGTCTAGCCCCCATCTGACATTCCCCAGAAACTGGGAGAGAATGAGTACAAACTCAAAGCAGAAAGCAGGGTGCTTCCGCCCACCAAGAACCTCTTGCTCTTTCCTCACTCTCTCCTGTGTTTCTGGTTGTCTCTTAAAAAAATAAAATAAATAAAATAAATTAGAAATTCTGGTTGAGTGGTGCATTCCTCTCCGCTTTCCTTCTCCAACTGACTTCCTACCATTTATTGTCCAGAATTCTAAGATTCAAGTTTTAGAGTTGTGTCCAGTGAAGAACAGACTGGGCTCTCTCCAAATTTTCCAGAACTGGAACTCTTGACAATTTGAGTTTGCAGCTCCTTTTATCAAGAGATACAGTTTTATTTCCCCATTAAAAAAAAAAATCACTCACCAGATCTATTTACAAAGGATGTGGTCTTCAAATTGGTTATATCATGTATGCATCAGATTCTGCTTCATCTAAGGCATATTAGAATGCTCTTTGACCAAATGTTTGAATGACAGTTTTGGGGAATCAATATATACCTGGTTTCTTTTTTAATATTTATTTTGTAGTTGTAGTTGTACACAATATCTTTATTTTATTTTTATGTGGTGCTG